ACTGAATTCCAATGTTCCCAATACTTTACGAATTTACGTTTTTTCCCAACCCTCCTGCGTTGGGTACTCGTTTTGAATAGAGCACTGTGGTCTCCACCTCCCGCCTCCTTCCGCCTGCGGTCGCCATCCCTGGGTGGCTGCGATCTGTGAAACTGTCGCCACTTTCGAGGGCTGCTGGGGGGGCCAGCGGAGTGACGCCCTACGGGGACTCAGATTAGACCTCGCCATCCCTGGGGGGCTGCGATCTGCGAGACTATCGTCACTTTCGAGGGCTGCTGGGGTGGCCAGCGGAGTGACTCCCCACGGGGACTCAGATTAGACCTCGCCATCCCTGGGTGGCTGCGATCTGTGAAACTGTTGCCACTTTCGAGGACTGCTGGGGTGCCCAGCGGAGTGACGCCCTACGGGGATTCAGATTAGACCTCGCCATTCCTGGGGGGCTGCGATCTGCGAAACTGTCGTCGCTTTCGAGGGCTGCTGGGGTGGCCAGCGGAGTGACGCCCTACGGGGACTCAGATTAGACCTCGCCATCCCTGGGGGGCTGCGATCTGTGAAACTGTCGCCACTTTCGAGGGCTGCTGGGGGGCCAGCGGAGTGACGCCCTACGGGGACTCAGATTAGACCTCGCCATCCCTGGGGGGCTGCGATCTGTGAAACTGTCGCCACTTTCGAGGGCTGCTGGGGGGCCAGCGGAGTGACGCCCTACGGGGGATTAGACCTCGCCAGATTCGCCACTTTCGACTGCTCGCCATCCCTCGGGGGGCTGCGATCTGTGAAACTGTCGCCACTTTCGAGGGCTGCTGGGGGGCCCAGCGGAGTGACGCCCTACGGGGACTCAGATTAGACCTCGCCATCCCTGGGGGGCTGCGATCTGTGAAACTGTCGCCACTTTCGAGGGCTGCTGGGGGGCCCAGCGGAGTGACGCCCTACGGGGATTCAGATTAGACCTCGCCATCCCTGGGGGGCTGCGATCTGTGAAACTGTCGCCACTTTCGAGGGCTGCTGGGGGGCCCAGCGGAGTGACGCCCTACGGGGACTCAGATTAGACCTCGCCATCCCTGGGGGGCTGCGATCTGTGAAACTGTCGCCACTTTCGAGGGCTGCTGGGGTGCCCAGCGGAGTGACGCCCTACGGGGACTCAGATTAGACCTCGCCATTCCTGGGGGGCTGCGATCTGTGAAACTGTCGCCACTTTCGAGGGCTGCTGGGGGGCCCAGCGGAGTGACGCCCTACGGGGATTCAGATTAGACCTCGCCATCCCTGGGGGGCTGCGATCTGTGAAACTGTCGCCACTTTCGAAGGCTGCGTGGGGGGCCCAGCGGAGTGACGCCCTACGGGGATACAGATTAGACCTCGCCATCCCTGGGGGGCTGCGATCTGTGAAACTGTCGCGTGATCTACCTGAAGTCGCCTGGTGGAGACGCGCGTGATCGACCTGAAGTCCCAATCGCGCGTGCACTGTACCTGCGTGGCGTTCAGGCACGCGCGTGATGCTGCTCGCTCCGCGTTCAACCAGTACGTCGCCAGTGCAACTTTGGACGATGGACAACCGATTGATGATACGCGACCCCGGCCTTGAGTTTCTTTCCCGCGGGCCGCCCGCAGACCTGGCGGCGCGCCTGCGAGCGTTCAGCTCCCGCGCTGAAATGTGCGGGAAGGAGGCGGAGAAGCTAGCGGGCGAGCTACGCCTCGCTCGTTCCTTGCACTCTAAACAAGTTTTATCATGTGGAACTCTGCGACGACATGGCGCAGGCAGCGCTGCGGGTTTAGCTCGCACTTGAAAAACGCGGCAGTCTTCTGTCTCCTCCCGCCACTTTCATCGTCGTCCTATTCCCCGCCTCACCTTCTCCATGCATGCTGCTGCTTCCGCGATGGCCTTTCGCCCCCCCCGCCCTCCATTCCATCCCTCTCCTACCCCTCGTTCCCGTACCCGTTCCTCTTCGATCCTGGGGCCTCAATCCTCGTTCTTTCGATCGTCGTCCTGTGAATCGTGCAGCGCATGCGCATCCCATGTAGCTTGCACAGCAAATCGCCGCGTCTACACTGTCGTTGTTCCTGCTAATGTTGGCATACTCCTCTTGCCATTTGATGCACGCAGGTTGGGTACGTCGCAGGGTAATTTTCTGTCAACGTCGAGTTCTCGTTTGGCCATGCTCAGTTTTCACATGTTCGCACATTTCATAACCAACCATCTCCAGTTGCTTGGTAGTTGCCTTTCACAATCGTGCGCTTGCTCGGGCGCCCCGGACACTTTCACGATGCAGAGGGGTTCCTTCTCAATGCCACCGTGCTTTGCACAGCTATGCTGGCGAACTTTAGCTTGGTCGTGGATGGCCAAGCTGGAGCCGATGAGATCTCACCCCTCCTAGTCCCGCCACAGGTGCGGCAGGGCCGTGGGGCTCTGCCTCGTCTTGTGGCTTGGCCTTGTGAGTGTCACCGCTTCAGCCCCCACACGGGCAGAACCTTCGGCATGCAGGCCCCTCAGTCTTCCAGCGGGCGCTCGCCGGTCGAAAAGGGGAATACTGTTCTTGGTGGATGAGGAGGGGGCTCCTGGACAGGGGGCTGCATTGCAGCGGCAGCGATGTGTTCAGGGTCTCCTCTGGTCCTCTTCTTCCCTTGCTTCCTCCTGGCTCCTCGCTCTTCCTCTGTCTTCCTCTGTCTTCCTCTGTCCTCCTCGCTCCTCCTCCTGCTCCTCCTCCCCGTATTCTCCTCCTGTCCTCCTTCTGCCCCTCCGTCTCCTCCTTTTCTCCCTAGTTCTCCTCCTCGCCCTTCCCTTTTCTTCTTCTCCTCCTCCTCCTCCTCCTCCTCCTCCTCCTCGCACTCCGCAGTTCTCCTCCTCCTGGCAGTTCTCCTCCTCCTGCTCTTCCTTCTTCTCAACTTACACTTGCTGCTCCTCCTCCTCCCTGCTCCCTCTTCCCTCCTCCTCGCTCTTCGAGGTCCCCCTCGCTCCTCCGCCACTCCCCTCCCTCCCCTCCCCCCCCTCCTCTACCCCCCTCCTCGACCTCGCAATCCGTTCTCTCCTCCCCGCGCCCCGCAACCCCTGCCAGTCCCCCTCGCACTTCCTCCCCCCTCCCTCCCGCTGGCGCCCCTCGCTCTGCGCCCTCTCCCCCGCCTGCACCCCCCCGTCCCCTTTCCGTAGCCGTTCCTGCTCCTCCTGCTCCTCCTGCTTTGTTCTTCTGCCAGGCCCCGGGGGCGGTCCGCCCGCGGCGTCAGTGGGCCCGCGCGCGATCGCAGCCGCGCAGGGGGCAGGCAGGACAGTCCAGGCATCGCTGGACTGCGAAGTGGCCAGCGTGCCTGCGGCACACAGTTCATCACCACCCACCAAACCACCCCAACCCAACCCGAAGGCCCAAATTTATCCTCGATTTCCAGTGGGGGGGGGTCGGGGAACATTGAACAAACACATGGAAGCCGTACCCCCCCAACCCGAAATTCGGGTCAAATTCGGGTCTTCGGGTTGGGTTGGGGTGGTCTGGTAGGTAGTCAGTTCACGAGCAAGACGGGGCAAGCCACCCGCCACCTTCAGCACACATCCCCCGCTGCCTCTCCCCATCAAAGAACCTCAAGGTGGTGGACGGGCGCGAGTGGGCGAGTGACTGATCTCGCACTTGGCCGCCTCTACCACGGTCGCCGTGAGCAGCGCGAAGAGGCAGCGCAGGCGCAGCAAGGACAGAACAGAAATAAAGCAGCAGGGACATGATCGCAAGGAGAGAAGGAAACCATGATGATGGATACGCAAGATGGGTGGACACCCTCGGCTGGCCCCTGCGTTCAACAGCTCTGCGTGCAGGATGGGGTGGAAGACGAATGCGCACAATAACTCCAGCCCCCGACCAGCCCAGAAGAGATCGTGATCCAGGCCCATGGCCTCATTGTCAGCGAGTCTGGCTTCCCCCCCTCCATGGGCGGCACCAGGCGCTCCCAGGCGCTCCCAGGCGCTCCCAAGCGTTCCCAAGCGTTCCCAAGCGCTCCCAGGCGCTCCCAGGCGCTCCCAAGCGCTCCCAAGCGCTCCCAAGCGCTCCCGGGCGCCCCCAGGCGCTCCCAGGCGCTCCCAGGCGCTCCCAGACGCTCCCAGGCGCTCCAAGGTCTTCAGCCCAGGCGCTCCCAAGCGCTCCCAGGCGCTCTCAGGCGCGCCCAAGCGCTCCCCGGCGCTCCCAAGCGCTCGCGCGTCGAAATGTCTGTTTCATAAAAAATGTACTGCCGTCGAAATGTCTACGACAGAAGGAGACGTCAGCCTGTCGAAATGTCTGCGACAGTAGGGGGTGCTGGGGCGTCGAAATGTCTACCACATCAAGAAATGCGTTGCCGTCGAAATGTCTGCGTCGTCTTCGAGAGTGAAGCGGGCCGAAATGTCTGCGCCTCGCATGCCTTCTGCGTAGACGTTTCGACGGTCGAAGCATCGAAATGTCTACGGTGTCTTCGGGGCTCGTTTCGTCGAAATGTCTACGACAACAAAGTTGCCTTTGTCGAAACGTCTGCGGGGCAGGTCTGGGCACCGCCCCCGTGGGGGGGGGGACTGAAGTGTGACCGCAGCTCAATGCGAGCTCGGGTCCATGACTGGCACAGGATGGCGGATGGGTGAGCGGAGAGAAGCACTGCAAACATATAGTCGGGGCGCTGGAGAAGGAACCCTTTTCGTTGGGGAGGGGCTCGGTGTTCCTTGATTGTTTCACAGTTTGCCGCAGGTTTTCCTGAGGTTTCCATGGGAAATCGAGGTTGAACTTATTGGGAAAAAGGGGCCTCGTTCCTTATTCGGGGTTCCTTAGGTCAACGCCCCGACGGTACATCTCATGCAGCACATGGCAAACACGATAACCGCACCAACACCAAGAAGCATGGCAGCATCCCTCTTCCTCCTCTTCCTCCTCCTCCTCCTCCTCCTCCTCCTCCCTCTCCTCTTCCTTCTCGTCCTCCTCCTCCGCCTCCTCCGCCATCTCCGCCTCCTCCTCCTCCCGGTGCCCCCGGGCTCCCCTGGACCCCGCCCCCATTCCTTTCCACAGCCGTTCAGCTCAGGGCATCTTGCCAGGAGGCGTCGGCCTCAGGCCCGTCCGCCCCCGCGCTCGCCCCCCTCTGCGCTGCGCCCCGGACATGTCGGCGGCCCCGCGGGGCGACGCGGAGTGCCTCGACCCGCGGACCTCAGGCCGCGGTGGTGGCACGAACCCTCGTCCAAGGGTTCGAGCTTCTCGGTTTAGCGTGCCTTCGCCCCCTCCAAGGGCCCGAGGACCCCAGGCACGGGCAGCGGGCGGCGCGGCGGAAAGGAGGCGGCCGTTTGCTGCCGCTGCAGTGTTGGGCCTCTACAGGCTGGCTGCGGGCCCTGGGGCCGTCCAGACCGACTCGGGATGAGCAGCCCGCCCAGGGGAGGGGCCGAGAGGCCCCAGGGCTCGCGTCTCGAAGACATCGGGCCGTCGGATGTCTGGGGATGTTCAGCCAAGCAGGTCTAGGACGAGGGTATCGAAGACGCCTACGGCGAATCACCGCCGCCCCCTGCCTTTGTGGAAGCGCCTATGTGGCCGAACGTTGAGGCCAGACCTGCCAAGCCATCGGACCATGTGTTCCCCGAATCGGTTTGGAAAGCCTTCGGGGAACACGTGGGCGTCTTGATGGTCATCGTCGCCGTCTTGGAGGCCTCTTGGGCGATCTTTCGGCGATCTTTGGGGGCTCTTGGGCCGTCTCGGGCCGTCGGAAGGCCGAAAAAAGGGAAATGCCCAAATCCATCAAAAACCTTGGGAAAATCAGTGATTTTGGCATCTTTTGGCCTTCCTGGAGGCCCTCTTGGGGGCCTCTTGGGCCCTTTTGGGCCAGCTTCGAGCCAACTTCGGCCATCTTGGTGGGTTCCTGGCACGTCTGACGCCGTCGGGAGCCGTTTTGGGGGCCTTTCTGGGCCAACGGGGGACCCTCTTGGGGCGCTCCAGGGCCGTCTTGGAGGCCATCTTGGGCGTCTTGGAGGCCATCTTGGGCGTGTTGGAGGCCTCTTGGGCCCTCTTGGGGCCCTCTAGGGGCCATCTTGGAGGCCACTTGGGCCATCAGGGGGCTCTCTTGGGGGCCTCTTGGGCGATCTTGGGGGCTTCTTGGGCCGTCTTGAGCCGTCGGAGAGCCGAAAAGGCGCAAATGCCAAAATCCTTCAAAAACCAAGGGAAAATCAATGATTTTGGCCTCTTCGGACTCTCCTGGAGGACCTCTTGGAGGCCTCTTGGGCCGTCTGGGAGGCCTCTGGGGGGCCTCTTGGGCCGTCTTGGGCCGTCTTGGACTCTCTTGGGCCGTTTTGGAGGCCGTCTTGGACCATCTCGGGCGGACTTGGAGGCCATCTTGGGCCATCTTCGCGATTTTTTGAGGATGGCCCGAGCGAAACGGCCGTTTTTGGGCATTTTTTTCCGGTCGTTGAGCACGTTTGGGGGCCTTCCGGGTGGCCGGCGGGTTCTGCCGGAGCCCACTGGGGAGTTCTTTTGGAAAAAGAACCAAAACCAAAACCTGAAACATCCAGCACGCCGTGCACCCCTGCAAGCAGGGGGCGGCGGATCGAAGACGCCTACGGCGAATCACCGCCGCCCCCTGCCTTTGTGGAAGCGCCTATGTGGCCGAACGTTGAGGCCAGACCTGCCAAGCCATCGGACCATGTGTTCCCCGAATCGGTTTGGAAAGCCTTCGGGGAACACGTGGGCGTCTTGATGGTCATCGTCGCCGTCTTGGAGGCCTCTTGGGCGATCTTTCGGCGATCTTTGGGGGCTCTTGGGCCGTCTCGGGCCGTCGGAAGGCCGAAAAAAGGGAAATGCCCAAATCCATCAAAAACCTTGGGAAAATCAGTGATTTGGGCATCTTTTGGCCTTCCTGGAGGCCCTCTTGGGGGCCTCTTGGGCCCTTTTGGGCCAGCTTCGAGCCAACTTCGGCCATCTTGGTGGGTTCCTGGCACGTCTGACGCCGTCGGGAGCCGTTTTGGGGGCCTTTCTGGGCCAACGGGGGACCCTCTTGGGGCGCTCCAGGGCCGTCTTGGAGGCCATCTTGGGCGTCTTGGAGGCCATCTTGGGCGTGTTGGAGGCCTCTTGGGCCCTCTTGGGGCCCTCTAGGGGCCATCTTGGAGGCCACTTGGGCCATCATGGGGCTCTCTTGGGGGCCTCTTGGGCGATCTTGGGGGCTTCTTGGGCCGTCTCGAGCCGTCGGAGAGCCGAAAAGGCGCAAATGCCAGAATCCTTCAAAAACCAAGGAAAATCAATGATTTTGGCCTCTTCGGACTCTCCTGGAGGACCTCTTGGAGGCCTCTTGGGCCGTCTGGGAGGCCTCTGGGGGGCCTCTTGGGCCGTCTTGGGCCGTCTTGGACTCTCTTGGGCCGTTTTGGAGGCCGTCTTGGACCATCTCGGGCGGACTTGGAGGCCATCTTGGGCCATCTTCGCGATTTTTTGAGGATGTCCCGAGCGAAACGGCCGTTTTTTGGAGGATTTTTTGCGGTCGTTGAGCACGTTTGGGGATTTTCCGGGTGGCCGGCGGGTTCTGCCGGAGCCCACTGGGGAGTTCTTTTGGAAAAAGAACCAAAACCAAAACCTGACAGCTCATCCAGCACGCCGTGCACCCCTGCAAGCAGGGGGCGGCGGATCCAGCTGCGTGCGGCAAGTTCCGCCACCGTCCCAGCGCAACACCGTGTGTGGCGACGCTTTTAGCACCGTGACACCTCTCGTCTCGGGACTCTCGTGGGGCCGATCTAGGCCGTCATGGGGCTGTCTTTGACTCCCGTCTTGGGGCCTTGTTTGGACTCTCTTTCGCTATCTTGGGGCGGTCTTGGTGCCGTCTTGTGTCCTCTCGGCTGTCTTGGACTCTCTTGGGGCCATCTTGGAGTTCCCTTGGGTTCACCTTGGGGCTATCTTGGGTTGTTCGGGGTCCACAAGGGACCCTCTTGGGGCTGTCATGGGCCATCTGGGGCTCTTCTTGACGACCTAAGTGGTCTCTTTTGGCTGCTCTTTGGCTCCTCCAATGCCCTCTTGGAACAGCTTGAGCCGAGAGTCCCCCCGGGAAGCGCAAAGTTTCCCACCCCTGGAGCTCCACAGGTTTTTGTATGGTCTTGGCCTTCTTGGGACCACTCAGTCTTCTCGGGGTCTTTTTGGGGTCTCTTGGGGGGTTCTGAGGGGCTTGGCGGCCTTGGTGGCCGTCCTGAGCCGTCATGAAAGCCTTGGAGATCTTTGGATAGCCCCAGAGAACCGGTCAGAGCGCCTCGTACTTTCGGGACGGCTGGGCGGTGCATGCAACGAATTTCGGCAAGGGGAGGGGGGGCCCGTATCAGAAGACTTCCGGAACCAATCTAGACAGCACATGGCGTTCTACCACGCCCCAACGTGCCAGGGGAGCGTTTAGAGCGCTTTCGCAGCGTTCTGGAGCGCTCTGGAAGGGCCGCGGCGCCCGACACGTCCTCCAGACCCGATGGCTCTCCGAGATTCCCGATGTATCCGGATCCGATTCTGCACTCGGCCTGCCTGCGTCTGATGCAGGGGGCCAAGAGAACAGTCAAGCAAGCCCCAGCGATGCTCCCAAAGACAGCTAAAGCGCTGCTGACCCTGCGTGTCTGCGCTGCTGATTTCTTCGCTCGACCGGGGCCACTTTTTGTTTGTTTGCTTGTTTGCTTGTTCCCCCCGCCTGACTCCTTCCTGATATCCGATGCCGTCGTTCAAAACCAAAGCGTTGCGGGAAATGATGTCTAGAGCTATCGAATATGTCTCTACACAGCATTGTCCGATGCCATGCCGAAACGCGTGGTTTCCGAGGCACGTAGCGTGGCGAAGAGGCCCGACGTGATCTTTCCATAGCGCCCGTATGTCGGAGTTCGGTCTGTGTGTGTGTGTGTGTGACCGGCCAAGTTATTTTTCAATCTGTGGGCCCCAGAGGTCCCGACCCTCTCCCTGGGAGTGTTTTTTCGTCCCAGATCAGCTTTTGATGGCCTCGTTGCCTGGCACTGCCCCCTCCAGGCAGAGGCACAGGCAAGGACGTTGAGGGCGGAGTCCGTCCGTCCGCCAGACGTCTCTTGAACGCAGGCTGGCGGCGCGTACAAGGGCGTGGCGCGAGGGGGGGGGCCTCCTAAGAAGGAGGCAGGGTGCTTCTGAGGAGGCGGGGGTCTGCTTAGAAGCCTCCCCCGCTTCCGAGCAGCCCTTTTGCAAGCATCTGGGCCCTTCTGAGAAGGGCCTTCTAAGAGGCACCCCACCCGCCCAGTAGGAAGCACCCCGCCCGCCCAGAAGGCCGCCACACCCTGCGCCACCCCCCTTGTGCGCGCCGCCGAGCAGGAGATCGTCTCTCATTTTTCGGCGATGCAGTCGGGGCCCTGAAGAAGGAACCCTTTTGGTTGGGGAGGGGCTCCGCGTTCCTTAAGTGTCTCACAGCTTGCCTCAGGTTTTCCTTATGTTTTCGATCGGAAATCGAAGTTTAACTTATAAAAAAAGAGGGGTTCCTTAGGTCAACGCCCCGACTGTAGCCCAGGTTGTCCGATGGGGGGGCAGGGGGGCGGTGCCAGCCGATAGCCTGACCTTTTTTCGCTCTGGGCAGCCCCGCGCACGCCCGCGCGCGGCAGCACCGCGGCGGACCTGCGCAACCGACAGGGCCAGGCTAGGCGGGGGGGCGAGGAGGGGCAGGGGTGCGGGCGGGCGAGCCCGGGCTATCCGTGGACCCGTGCGAAATCCGGCCTCCAGGCGTCCTGGCCGAGGGGACCGCCGAGAGGAGCGGCGCGCCCGAGGCCGCACGGCGCGAGGCCGCCGCCGGCTCCCCAGGCACAGCGCGCCCCCAGAGCCGCATGGCGACCATGTTCTCGGTGGACCTGGAGGTCGACGACGGCGACGACGAAGACGACGACGACGACGGCGACGGCGACGGCGACGGCGACGACGACGGCGACGGCGACGGCGACGGCGACGGCGACGACGACGACGGAGGGCGTCAGCTGCCTCTGGGCTTCGGGCGGAACGTTGCGCCGATCCTGGGCCCGAGGGGCCCGGCCAGGGCCGGTGAGGGGGGCAGCGGGCTCCCCCGAGAGGTGAGGACGGTGGAGCCCCAGAGGCACAGCCTCGCGTCGCTCTTCGGGAGGGCCAGGCGTCGGCGCGCGGGCCTGGCCTCTAGGGGCCTCCGCGAGGGGCTCCTGCGGATCGGCGCTCGGCCCCCCGGTCCCACGCTCCTGGCGGTGCCGGAGGCGCCGCCCCCGGCGCCCGCCGCGCGCTGGGGAGGGGTGCGTCGGGGAGGGGGTCCCAGCGCCGACCCAGGGAAGTCCCAGCGCGGACAGTCGACGCTCTGTGCCTGCGGCCGCTCTCTTGGCCCTCCGTCTTCCTGTCGACGGGGAGGACCAGCACGATGGACCTCGAGGAGCGCGTGGCGCGGCCGTGCCTGGCGCGGCTCTGGTCCACCTCTGGGCTGTGCCAAGAGGGCGCCCACATGGACTATTGCGAAGGCCTTACGGCAGGTGCCCCCGACCCTGAAGGGGACGTCGACGACGGCGGCTGCGGTGGCGGCGGCGACGACGACGACGCTGACGTGGGCCCGAGTCCTCAGGGATGTTTCTTGGGGGCTCTCGGGAGGAATTTGGGGTCTCTTGGGGGCCTCTTGGGGGCATTTTCGGGTGTCCTGAGGGCCTGGGCTCCTTGGGGCCTCTTGGGAACGTCTTGGGGCCTCCGTGGAGCTTCTCGGGGCCGAGGGCTCGAAATGTCTGTTCAAGTTCCCCGTCAAGCACGCTCTTGGAGCCGTCTCGGGGGCCTCTTGGGCCGTCTTGGGGGCGTTTTGGGCTGTCTTGGGGTTCTCTTGGTTTATTTTGGAGCGCTCTAAGACGCCTCTTGCGCCGTCTTTGGGCGATCCCTAGGGCCTCTTCGGCTGTCTTTGAGCGGAAGCAGAAAGTAGGCGAGAACGCCCAAATTTGTCAAATTCCTAAAGAAAATAAATGATTTTTGCCTCCGGGGACCCTGTCGGGTGACTGCCATGGAGGCCTCTTGGGGCCCCCTTGGGCACCCTGTGGAAGATTCTTGCAAGTCTGGGTGCCTCTTGGAGGTCTCGTGGAGAATTCCTGGGGACGTCTTTGGGCTTCCGGGACTGCTCGGGGGTTCCAGGACCGCGCGGGGACCGCGCGAGGGTTTCGGAATCGCGTGGGGGGGAAGCGTATTTGGGTGGCGACCCCCCCCGAGACCCCTCTGGGACCCCCCCCAGGCGCCCTGGCGCGGGGAAGGGATCAAAGGGAAGGGGATTCCCTTCGATTCGATACGACATTTCGAGGTTTTTCTCTTGCTGACGGGCTTGAGGAGGGTGCAGGGAGAGGGGGCGACGCAGACGACGACTGACCGAGACGACGACTCGAACAGACAACCCCCTCGCACACACCGACAGGGCCGGCGGATTTTCCCGACCCGCCCTGCATCCTCCCCTGCCCGCCTCGCCCCGACTGCGACGAGGAGGGGGACGCGGCCGCTGGCATGGGCGAGTCCGCACCGCATTCGTACTGGAAGCAGCACGCCACGTGGCTGGACAACTGGCCGAGCCTCGACAGGAGCCGCGCGGCCGCCGGAGCATTCGTGGCGGGATGGAGCGACAGGGGCAGGGCCTCGAACCTGCAGGCCTTTGTGAACGTCTGCGATCAGCCAGTGGCGGTGCGATCGCAGCCCGTGGACGGCAGCGACGCGAAGACCGAGGTCAGGGTGCAGCCAGGGGAGATGGTGGTCGTTGCGAAGGTCGTCGAGCGCCAGGGCACGAGGTACCTTCGGCTCGCGAGCGGTTCCGGGTGGCTCTTCGAGACGCAGGGCAGGGCGCCTGTGATGGCCAGGATGGCGCGCGTGGCTGTTGGCAGCTGGTGGTTCCGGGTGGCGTGCGGCGAGGCGCTGGAGGTGCACGCTGCGCCCACGTTCGCGGCGTCGCCCAGCGGTTGGGTCATGAGCCCCACGGAGATTTTTCTGGTCGATGTGAAGGCGCGGGTGCGTGGCTGCATGTTCTTCCACTTGGCAGACGGCAGAGGCTGGATCCCAGAGCTGAGGCAGCCTGCACACCCACGCGGGTCCGCGTGCTCCCCCACGTGGCCAGACGTTGACGTGCCCACGTTGCTGGTCAAAGAGGCCGAGGCGGACTTGGAGGGCAGGTCCGCCGGTTGGTTCAACTACTCCAGCATAGTGCCCTCCACCAGCGATGCAGTCGAGGTCGGCGAGTGGCGCTACGTGGTGGGCGAGCTCCCCGTCCTCGCCATCGGCGCCCGGCAGTTCGGGGAGCTGCTCGAGCCCGGCGAGAGCGTGAAGGTGGACAAGCGGGCCTTCGCGGGCGGCGACGCCCCCCCGGGGGGCGGAGCGTGGACCGCCGCCAGCAGGGTCTGGCTGCGCCTGCGGGACGGCAGGGGCTGGGTGCCGGAGCTCAGGAGAGGAAGATCCACCCCCGACCCCCACAAGCTCGGCAGAGAGGAGGGATGGCTTCTTGGAAGCACCCCTGCTTCTCAGAAGGCGCGGGCCTTGGCTGTAGATGTCGGGCCGGCGCCTTTTAAGAAGCAGCCTCCTTCTAAGAAGCCTTCCCCTCTCCCCCTACCCCCTTGTGCGCGCCGCCAACCAGCGGCGTTTACTAGGCAGTCCTGGGCGTCTACTTGAAACGTCCCTACCCTGTGCGGTTCCTTCTCCAGGTGGGCTTACTAAAGGGCTTCACTCGCAGGGGTGCCCGTGTTATGAGGTTGGTTCTTCCAGGAGGGAAACATAGACACAGACTCACACAGGCGTCGACTCCCAGGAAAATATGGGAGCATCTAGGAAGTGGAGGGGAAAACAAAACCCAGGAGATATGGAGAAATATGGAGAATCCTGTAATTTGTGCCTTTTCCTTGTAGTGGCCTCCGGCCAGTGCCGCCGATCCAGAGCGTTCCCGACGCTGTCGAAGACTCCGGCGACGACGACGACAACGACGACGACGAACGACGAATGCCGTAGGAACATCGACGACGACCACGGACGAGGACCGACGACAAGGACGATGGGGACACTCTACGACGACGAGGGACCGTTCACGGCGACCGATGGCCGACGAATCCTGGAGTCTGTGCCTCTTCCTCTGTGCTCCCCCGGCGGGCGGGAGGAGGAGGAGGAGGAGGAGGAGGAGGAGGAGGAGGAGGAGGAGGAGGAGGAGGAGGAGGAGGAGGAGGGGGAGGAGGAGGAGGAGGAGGGGGAGGAGGAGGGGGTGGAGGAGGAGTTGGAGGTTGTGGAGGAGGAGGAGGAGGAGGAGGAAGAGAGGATGAGAGGAGGAGGAG